TATGTTTATTTAGCCACCTTGCACCTTCATGTTTATCTAGCAAGCAGCTTCAATTTATTTTCATACAGGCTGGGACATTCCACAAATTTGACTACTGTAAAATGTTTATTGGAGCAAAAATAGATTCAAGACCTTTGTGAACCCTTAGGAAATTTGCAGTTCCTTCTTGGCTTTTTTTTTTTTTTCTTCTTCTAACCCAACATTCTGCTTTTTAGCCCTGCAGCAAAATTATCTCGTATTAAAAAAAAAAAAAAAAAATTTTGTAAACCAGAAAGCACGTTATTTGAAACCGCCCCACGGTAACGATTTGTGATAAGCCATTTTAATTCACCTGCCACTTAATGCATTTATGGGGCCTTTGTTGAATGTAAATGTGCAGCATTTGAACATTCACAATCCCCTCTGTAAGAAGGCATTATCTGTCTTTTTTTTTTTTTTGAGTGATTCTAAAGCAAGTTTTAAAATACACCGATGACGCAATTAGTCACATCTTGGTGTTTGTGTGCGTGTTTAAAAGTGATTGAAGTACAGTAATTCTTATATGGGAGCTTTATTTTGTTATATTATTTTTTTTTCATGATTTTTGAGATGAGATGTGAAAAATAAAATTAAATGTAGGCTTTCATATCTCTTTATCCTATAAATGGGTGCTTTCATCTTTGCTTCCTGGGAACCATTAGTATAAGCTGTTTAATTTGCTCCTGGTTGACAGCAGAGAGAGAGAATACACAAAAAAGGAGACCTTAAACAAGCTTGACGCTCTTAGCAATGGTTTGCTCTGTTTACGGAATTGTATTTTTTCCATAGACTTCAATAAAGAAATTGTTATTTAGTATGCTGAGTAAAACCTTACTGTGCTAAGAAAATCCAGCCCCATTATCCTATTTCTAATTTGTAATGTCTGTCCAGGCTGTGCCTAGACTGAACTGGATTGTGATGCAGTTTCCCAAACCTTTCAAGGAACACAAACCTGTATTCCTGGCCCTAGCCCTCTCCCTCCGCGCTCCAAGCTGGGTAGAATAGGGCATTTTTTATTTACTGTAAATGCAGGAGGTGGGAGGGAGTGCAACTCAAGCCTCCCCCTGTTTTGCTGATGACAGATGTGACTTTTGCACAGAACTGATATTGGGAAGTTTAGAACAGTGTCTCGGGCTGCTTAAGACACGTGTGCTGGTGGTGTAACTTGTTCAAATAGGTCTGGATGAGCATCATTTCAAGTAGAAACATTACACATACAGATATCTATCACCATGACCACCTCTAAAAACAGAAGTGGTCATGGTGGTTTTTTTTTTTTTTATATATATATATATATATATAAATCTAATTCCACCTCCTGTCATTCAACCTATCATTTGTGGATTACTTTAAATATTAAAGTTTTCCTTGCAACCTTTTAAAGTATTCCGACTATAGTGCATTAAAAAATTGGGGGTAACCTTGTTTAAAGTTATCAACAGATGGTACCTCGTTCCCACAAGAATAGCTAGAATGTATAGTCCAAGTTCACCGATAAGCTGGAGATGTAAGAGGAGCTTGGGCTTCTTCATGCATATCTGGTGGGAATGTGAGATCGTAGTTAAATTGTGGCAGGAAATATTTAATTATTTAGAGAATCTTTTATGCGTGCCCATTCCAAAGCTACCTCAAAATGCCTTACTTCACCTTAATATCGATCCACTACAACAAAAAGATAAGGTAATTTATATTCATTTCATGATAGCGGCCAAATTAAGTATAGCACGCAACTGGAAGAGTTCTTCTCTATTTTCCTTGGACAGGGTGACATCCCAAGTCAAGTTTCAACTCGGAATGGAAGGTCAGCTGGATAGGGTTCACGGAAGAGATCCAAAGAAGGTATACAATGCCTTCTGGTTGGAGAAAATGTAAGGAGAGGGTTAGGCAGAACCTGAGTGTATAGCTATGCATGAAATAACCTCTTTTTGAGGGAGTCTCATGCATATAATATAAAAACGGCCACGGAAATCAAGAGCTAAAGAATTGGCTATCCCAGTAATCTCGTCAGCATGGGAAATGTTATGTGCTTCGCTGGGTACTACGTTGTATCTGTAAGAGGAGTTTTAGTGTATAGTAGATAACTCTATAGGTTTAAATTCGAATTACTCCTCTAGAACGACTAAGATATTATCAGGGTTATTTTGTATAATAATTTATTATAATGACACTTTTGAATGCTTACAACTATCTGTCTTGTTGATACGATGTGATAAAATAATAAAAAACCTTAAGAAAAAATAAATAAATCCTGAAATGAAAAAAAATATATAAAAAAAAAAAATTGGGGGTAAAACAGTTGCCATACATTCTAACCTGTGAATGTTTTGGGTGTCTTTTCATAATGTGCATTGTTTGTTGATTTTCTCATCAGTTTTTGCAATGCTGCTGAGTTGCTTCCACTATTACCATATTAGTTTAGCAAATTGTGGGCAGCTTAAAAAGGTCAACCCTGTGAAATCCTTGTTTTGTATACTGTGGTCAATCAACTAGTATTCAGCAAAAGCAGATTGAGTGGTTTTTGTTTGTTGTTTTTTTGGGAGGGTCTTTTTTATTTTTTGCATGTGATTTTAATATGAAGACAAAGGTCAATTTAAAGAACTACTATAGCGTTGGGAATAGAACACCTGTATTCCTAACATTATAGTGTCCCTCTGCCATAAACTTATTGGCTGCCATAAAACATTTTACATTGCAGTGTTAAGGGGCAGGCACATTGCATCCAGACCACTTCAATGTGACAACGTGAGCTGGGTGCCTATAGTGTTCCTTTAAGTACCTTAGACAAAATAAAAATGTGTTTTGTTTGTCTGTCATCCTTCACATATATATATCGAAGATAGTTTATAATCCAATTTTGCTGTTAAAGAGATATATTTTGCATTTAGACTCTTGCTTTGTTTTTTTTTTTGTTGTAAAAAAAAAAGTACTTGAAAAATATCAGCAATTTAGTTAATCATAATTTGGATGCTGGTTCACGAATTTATTTATTTTTTCTTTTTTTTTTTTTCTTTTCTCTCCATTGGCTCCCCTGAGTAGCCTGGTGCTTGTGAAATTCTCCTCCTAGTGTTTTCCTCTTGTGAACATCTCCAATGATTTTATTTGGGACACAACTGGGTGAGATAAACATGGTCAGTTGTAGAGCAGTGAAGAGGCATCAATAAGGGCAGGTGGGAAACAAATACCCTAGGTATTGTCTCATTTAAAAAAAAAAAAAAAAAAAATCTATTGGCATTGTAATGACTACTTATAATTGTGTGACACATTGTGACCCATATCTGTTATGATTATAAATACAGTTGCCTTTCTCCGTTATTGATAACTGATGACACAGTGGGTTTTGCATAGGGCATGGCATCTCTTGTGGTTAAGTGGATAGAGCCCATCAAGTCGTCATCAACCACCACTGGTGCACAGCCTAACTAGAGCGCACTACAGTTTATTTTTTTATTTTTATGTATGTCTGTATATTAAATTTTATTTATTTATTTATTTGCCCTTTAGTCAGTGTTTTGTTGCTTTCTATTGTCCTTTTGCAGAGTGAAGACTACATCTCTGAGGTTCCTGAACAGCTGGTCAGTGGCTGCATAGAGAGCCTAGAAAGTGAGCCTTGCAAAGAACTTTTTAAAGATTGCTCCAAGTAAGCTGGGGACTTAAGAGGACATGGATTATGGTACTAAAAATGTTTGGATCCAATTAATATTGCCCACATCACAAAAGGATTTAATTGCTGTGTATCTGTAATTTGTGTGGGAGGTGGTTGCAATTTACAATTCGGCTATAGATGCATTCCTACTGTATGTATTTTAATATATGTTTAATTACCAGTTTGCAAAGTCCAGTGTACTTAATATTTTGCCCATGATAATTCAAAGAGACACTATAATTGCCAGAACAACTGCAGCTTAATGTATTCTGGGGAGTATAGTCAGACCCTCTTCATATAAACCATGTCTTTTCAGAGAAAAGGCAGTGTTTACATTGCAGCCTAGGGACACCCCCAGTGGCCACTCCTCAGATGGCCACTGGAGGTGCTTCCTGGTTTACTGCATCTCTTTGGAGAGATACTAATTGGCCAGGGTGGTGGTTGGCTCCACTCACTGGCCCTGCCTCCTTGCCTGAGATTATCGATTCTGATGTCAGCCAAAGAGGCGGATCGGGGATGGAGCCAGTGCCGGTTAACCCTTACAGTGCTGAAAATAAGGTAAGATTTTCCTATATTTAAGGAGGGGCCATAGGGGCTAGATAGTTTAACCCTATAGGGTCAGGAATACACATTTGTGTTCTTGACCATGTAGTGTTCCTTTAAGCAAATATTTCAAAAGACAAATTAAGAAACTATTTAAATTGAGAAAATTCATGAGTTATGTTGCACTATTTTGTGTGTGTGTGTATATATGTATGTATATTTGTGTAATTTTATTTATTTATGTTTTAAATTTTCCAGTGTTTTCCTCTTTTCCTTCTGAAGAGATACTGATATTGTGTGTGTGTGTTTCTATATATAATATAGAAATTAAATACACACATGCAGTATATAAATATACAGGCACTATGAATTAGATGGCATACCATGTCCAATTAAAAAAAAAATGTACTTTAACTTAAGGCACTATTCTATATTTATAATAGACATTTCTATTTTCGTGCGTACCATCTCACGTTTGCCAGAATTTGCTTCAGGCATTCTTCCTGGCTATTGTTTGGGTTCACGTTATGCTAAATATGTAGTTGCTTTAACTACATATTTTGTTCCATGTTTGTCTTTGTAATGCGTTGTTTTTGTTGAATTTATTTCAGGCTTGTTCATGATTTCCTCAGTATGGCTCCATTTTCAGATTACATAGATAGCTTATATTATAACCGCTTCCTGCAGTGGAAATGGCTTGAGAGGTGAGTTGTTAATAAATAAGTGATAAGTATATGTATGTGTTTATATAGGTGTTTGTGTGTGTGTGTGTGCATAGAAGCATCGTTGCATAGGAGGAGGACAGGTAGGTGTGTGTGTGTGTGTGTGTGTGTACACACACACACCTACCTGTCCTCCTCCTATGCAACGATGCATTAAAAGACTTTGAATGTATTACTCATAAATAAAGTAACCAATGGTCACCATTTTATGCATTTTTTTTTTTTTTTCCTAGAGGACCCGTTACAAAGAACACATTCCGACAGTACAGAGTTTTGGGCAAGGGTGGCTTTGGCGAGGTAAAAAAATATTTGCACTTTTCTCATTGCTGCTCTCTCATGCGTTGTGCGATCTGTCCACTTTCTATCAGTCTTGTATCTCTTCTTGCCTTGCTTCATTTTGCAGATATTGGTTGTCTACTTCTATGTACACCTGTCTTTAATTTCTGTAGATAACATCTGTTGTGCTTATGTTTTCCTTCCATTAATCTGCTTTTCCTACAGAAGGCAATGTGAATATAGATTTTGACATGTCTGACGCAATGATTTTGTTGACACGTTTCTGCTCTTATATCATGAACAATTGAGGCTTTCTGCAGCTCCTTTATATATCGGACCACTAAAGACACCACAAACACTTCATCTCATTGAAGTGATTTGGGTGCAGTGGTTGTTTAGTTTCATTTAACCCTGCAGTGTAAAACATTGCAGGTTATTTTTTTGTTGAAAATCCTCCTCTGGTGGTTGTCCTACTGATGGCCACTAGAGGTGCTTCTTCTGTACTGACTGAATAATACTCAGTCATGTGACATTGCAGCCCAGGAAACATTATGATTTTTTCCTTCCTATGGAATCTTGAACACACTCACCACACACGCACATTGGTTCCCCCAATGCTCCTCTCAGATGTGACATCACAGGAGGTTGAGAGGTGTGTGCAAAAAGTGAATGTTATGGTTTTTACTTTGTACTGCAAATGGGAGAGGGACATATCTAGCTTGAGACAGGGGAACTATAGCTTTGAAAATACAGGTTTGTGTTTCTGATGCTTTTGTCTTCCTTTTAAAGGGACACTGAGCATCATAATAACTAAAACATTTTATTGTGGTTATGGTAAAATGAGTTTTTGGGTGCAGCCACACTGGGTTTTGTCACACGTTTTTAAAGTTGTTTGAGATAAAAACGAGACTCGTTCATCACCCACGACAATGTAATGCGGAGGTTTTAATTCCACATTTTATATATATGAATGATTCCTGTGTTCAAAACCATTTTATTTTCTCCCTCCTAGCATTATGCTCTCTGAAATCACATTGAAGCCCACTGTGACCTATTTTTCTTTAGTATTATTTTTTGGGGTGAAGGTAATCAGGGATGTTGTGTGTTTTTTTTATTTATTTTTTTTTTTTTTTAAACACGATTTACTCATTTGGCAGGTCATGGTTTTTACCACTGTCCTGCACGGATTGTGATTTCGTCCGTTCAATCTCTTCTTTGTAGTCTGGGGGCCCCAATATTGGCCAGAACCTGAACATGCATGTCATAGTGTGCTTGAGACTAGTGGGAGTTAAACTCCTGAGCTGCATCTGCCAACATTTTAATGACTGCTGCTAAAATAGCTGCTGCCCTGGACTGTAACATTCACTAATCCTAGACAGCACCGGAACATGAATGCAAGTTTGCCCCTTAAATCCTACACTATCCTAGCACAATACACCAAACATTAACACCTATGCTGCACTATACCATTAATAAACGTAACCCATACACTACACTATTGCTAAATTTACAGTGTTATGTCTTAATTACACAAGTTGCAGTGTTATGTCTTAATCACAATTTCTCTGTAAATTTTGCCCTGCTAGAGGAAACTAGTGACCACAAAAAGCAGCCACACCTCCCAAAACATAATTACCGAAAGCAAGTTATTCGAGGTCAGAAAGCTTGAGGTTTCATTACTTAATAGTGAGTTGTAAGATGTCAACAACAGTGTTGTGAAATGTAGGTCAAAAATGGGAAGTTGTTTGGTAGGAATCACTCCAAATATAAAATTATTTTACATCGGTATATACATACGTCTTTTGCTTTGATCCTTAGCGCTGCTTTTTGGAGTAGAACAATTGTACGAGTTCTTTCCTCCAGCTATTGATGGATCCCCTATTATCCACCATGTTTCCCTTCTTTTAGTTATAGGGGAACAATGACAACTCACAGGTGTGAATTTGTACATGCAATGGCCATATTTTCACTTGCTTATGGCTGACAGTTAGTGGAAAATGTGAACTCTGATAATGCATTAAAAAAAGTTCCTAAAATTGAGTTGACCGCTTTGTGAACTAGGTTGTAAGCAGGGAGCTCCTTAACCACTGACTGATCACGCATGGGGTCACAGCTCTTGCTCTTTCCAGAGCAAAGGTAGGGAGGGGACAGATTTTCATTAGACATGCAGTTTTAAGATGCACAGAGATTTTATAAATCTACCAGTCAGTCCGCACACTTCACCCAACACAAGCACTATGCAGAAAGTAATGCGTGCCGTCCCCATTCCTCCAAAAAATTCATAGGTGTGTGTTCTCCCTTAAGGACCAAACTTCTGGAATAAAAAGGAATCATGACATGTCACACATGTCATGTGTCCTTAAGGGGTTAATGTGACTAAATTATAAATCATGTACTTCAAAATTACAGGGATATCGAGATGAGACGGCATGAATCTTATCTCCTCAAGACTCTGTCCCCATGGTCTAAATGATGGGTTTTCTTGTGCCCACTTTATCTCGATTTTTTTTTTTTTTTTTTATTTTTTTTTTACCTAGACTTTTACAGTCACCTCTGATTAACAGACTGGAATGTCATTTTCTTTTTTTGATTTATTCCATTTAGTTTTTGCCTTATGCTGTCAGTTGGTTTTCTCATGGTATTCATTTATGCATGTTGCACCACACTACAATTTGCTCTTTAAGGCACTTATATGCATAAGTTGGCTTGATGAATGGACTCTCTCTTGGTGATAGGATGAATATGCCTCAGTGGTATGAATTATGAGGGTTCACTCAAAGCATGCTTGTTGTACATTTATTCCATCTTAGTGAGTGGTTTATAGGAAGACATTCTCTAGAAGCCTTAAAAGCCTCATTAGACCGATATCCGATTGCTGCACTTATCCTTTCATGTGTATGCCCCCTCCGAAAATAATTATTGTATTACATAATCATAGGGTTATTAACTACTCATTGGATAAGTCACTTGTTATATAGGATATTTTTTAGTGTTTAGTTTTCATTATAACACAGTATTGATTTTATATATATATATTTCATTTATTAAGCAGGATACTTATCTGTCTTTTTCTTATACATTCTGTTTGAGTTGCCGCTTCGTCTGTATGGTTTTTTTTATGTTAACATTCTGAGTTTTGGCAGACCCTCTGTCACTTGTCAAGTGTATTCGTTTAGCTGACCATGTTCATTGGCCTTCAGCATAGGAGAGTAGTTACTCCCCATTTTCTTTGTCTCCCGTTAGGAGTGCCAACCAGAGATAGGAGTTCAATGTTGATTTGGTAGCTACCACATCTTTGCATTGTCTTGCGTTGTATGGAGCTTTGTGGGTAGAGCTGTGCGGCATGTCCCAGTGATAGTATGCTCATTAGTTGCCTCCTTTGCCCCATGGTAATCTTTCTAGCTGTGGATCTAGCCCTGTACATCTATCTGAAGCCTGTTTATACCCTCCTTTTTCTTAAGATCACCTTTACAGATTACATGGGTTGAGACGGTCACAGGTGTCAATCCTTTCAGCTGACTCTTCACCTGTTGCTATTGAAAGCATATATGCTTTGAGAATTGGTCATAGAAACATAGACGGTCACAGGTGTCAATTCTTTCAGCCGACACTTTACTTGTTGCTATTGAAAGTATATATGCTTTGAGAATTGGTCATAATCCTATCATTGTGCCTTCATGAGTTGAGTTTGTCCTCCTAGCCACTGATGGGATTGGTTGGTTGTCCGCACACCTCCAAAATGTGGAGAACGTAAGTGCGTCAAAGATGATCAGCCCTCATTTTTCCCTGACGAAGGTATAACACTGAAATGCTTATCGGGCTTGTGTTTTTTTTTTGTTTTTGTTTTTTTTTCACTGTCAAACTATGGGTGCAACTTTTTCCCTTTACTTTAAAGTGTTCTGATCATATATATGTAGAAGCAAACAGTTTTTTTTGGAAGATTTTTGTGTCATTCGAATGTCACTACTTCCCTTTTTTCACATTGTGTGATTATAGGGAATGTCAACCTTTTTAGTTCATGTCCCTCAAACTTACAGCTATGTAGGTACACCCACCTCTTCAAGGTGTACTGTGGTAGTCTCAGAAGACTTTGTATACTGCCTCTAGCTTAGTATTTTGAGTAGCTCTCAAGCTATTTATTTTTTCTTCACTTTTGATTATTAAGGTTAGTAGTAGGATACCTCTTTCATTTCTTTGCTATACACTTCCATACTCCTCTATACTTCTTTATGCTATTTCATAAATTCTCTGCTCAGGTTTAGGTGCTATACTTAGTTTGAGGATTGTATAGGCTATATATACCTGCCCCCTCTTCCTTTGCCTTGTTTTTATTGCAGCTGCTTATTATAGTACTACATTTTTCCATAAAAGATACTCATCCCTTTTATTTGTCTCCATAAGATAATTGCTGATAAAGCTTTTCCAAATATGTTTTTTCCTACATGTTAGTATCTTTGTTTCCTTGTTAAGTTTCATTGGGTTGATGCCCCTGCTTTGGGATTAAAGATTTGGAACTCTCTCCACAAGCCCTCTCCCCTTTATTAGAGGGTGATGCTGTGATTATTTTTTTAATTGTGTTTAGCTTATGGTAAAAATGTAAATGTTTCAGTTTTAATACAAATTAAGGAACTGCGCACAAATAAAAAAATTTAAAAAAAAAATAAATATATATATATATATATATATATTTTTTTTTTTTAATTTTATTTTATTTTTATTTTTTTTAAAGGCTACTTAAAATTACCTATCTCGGCAAACAAATATGGGGATTCAGTTCCACCATATGGCCATATTGTATTAGCCCTCCACTACTTCCCAGTACCACAATAGCCGTGGGTCCTACACGAATTCCAGCTTGGGAG